AATTAAGGGCTCCTTATTTCAACAAATACTTGTTAATTACAGGGCACTGCCCTTGGCACTGGGGGTGGGGGAGGGGGTGAAAACCAAGAAGGCAGATGGCACTGCTCCCTGTGGAGCAGAACATCTGGGGGGCAAATGTGGAGCACTGATGGTGCTCTGATCTACGTGGCGTGGGGGAACAGGAGTTATGTCAGTAGGCCTGGTGGGAAGCAGGAATGCATTTCCTTTCATTCTAAGGGTCTAAGGCCACCTTTGGCCAATAGAACATTCTGTGATGGTGGAAGTGGTTTATATTATCTGTATGGGTCAATGCAGTAACCACTAGCCACACGTGGCTATTATTGAGCACTTGGCTAGTGCAACTGAGGAACTTGAATTTTTCATACTATTTAATTTTAATTAAAGGTAAATAGCTGCATGTGGTTAGTGGCTACGCCATTGGATAGCACTGGTCAAGGATCTGTACTTCCCCTCTATTACACAGTAGAGACCAAAGGCCCCTTTGAGTCAAGAAAGTGTTAATACTCAGCTTTTTCCTTCGCTGTCTACCCACCAGTCTGCTCTTCTAGTTGCCCTGTTTCCTGCTCCGTACAATTATCCATCTCCTCCTGGAGAGTTTGTATATACATTCAATAAAATGAAACTTTTTTGAGCACCTCCTGTGTGCAAACTGTGGGGATTCAAAGGTGCATAAGCAGCCTTGTCTTAAGTCTGATCATTCAGCAGTTGGTTCAACCAGTTTGGGGGAAGGACCCCATATCTTTGTTGGGGTTCTAGTTAATATGACCTCTTGCCTCTGTGGACTGTCTTTGTCCAGGGTGGAGATCCAGAGGCTCGGGTGGGAAAAGCCCAAGATTTGGAGCAAGAAGCCCTGGGCTGGAATCAGGGTTGAGTCCCAGCACCAGCTCAGTGATTTAGTCACTCAGCCTGTATCTATTGTCTCTCACATCTGTGTCCCAGGCACCTTGATAGCAGAGGGCTGAGGAAGGAGCAAAAATCAGATTGACTTGAGATTTCTTAACACGAACACTGGATTTAAGAAGATAGTTGAGTAATATTTTTTAAAGTATCAGAGAGAAAGAACTTTGAACCTAAGTTTTGATTTCTAGTTAAATTATCAGGTATTTAAAGGATCAGAAAGTTTATCACATAGAGTCCCTCTTTGCCAACGCTGTTAGAGGAAGCACTCCAACAAGAAGCATATTTACTATAGTATATACTATAGGCATATTTACTATAGTATATACTATAGTATATACTATAGGCTCAACAAAAGCGAGTAAGGATTAAATCACTTGTTTAAATTACGCTTGTCTTAGGAAATGGTGCAGTGCAGTGACAGCAAAGCACAGCCTAGGTGGGCATAAGCTGAGGTAGTGGCAGAGCCAGTGGGAGACCTACTAAGTGAATGGAAAGGAAATTGACCCCCCCTGAAGTCACCTCTTTGAGGAAGAGAGGAAGACATAACCCCCTGTCTAGGGAAGAACTCTCAGATGTGTGCTGCTATTTTTGTACTTTCTTACAAGGCTTGCCTAAAACCAACATGCTCTTCCTTTTTATTCCCTGACTCTAAATTTCCAGGTAACAATTCTGAAATTTCCAGTGATGGGATGGAAGATAGATCAGAGAGGGGGTGGGTGTCAAACAAAGGTCAGAGTCCAGGACCAGTGAAGTTTATCTTTACCTGTGTTATTTACATGGCAAAGGTTCAGGTATTAAATTAACAGGAAACTACAAAGACCTTAAAAAAAATGGCTGTATGCCAAGAATATTTCTTCCTCCTCTCTGTCCATGCCCTAGAAGATATCATAAAAGAAATAAGCTTTTTCTTATTTCTCTGGTTTTCAAAGGAGACATAAAGTGAAACTAGGATTTTTGAAACAGTTTGCTTCTTCATGTTCTTTCATGCAGAACCTGGTAGGAAGAGGGACAGAAAAGTGCTGATTTGGGAAAGAAGACATAATCTTGGTCTGTGGCAGGTACCTCCTTTCTCCTCTTTTCTCCCTGTCTTTCACCCTATTCTCCTTTCCTTCTTCCTTCTTCTTTTTCTTTTCCTCCCCTTCCCTCCCCTTTCTTAGCCTTCTCTTCCCTTCCCCTGTCTTCATCTTTGCCTTTTTTCCTTTTCCATCACTCTTTCTTCTCTTCTTTTCTTCCTTTCTTTTCTCCCTCCACATTCACTCTTCTCCCCTAAGACAGTTGCTTTGGAAGATATGAGGAATGTGGGATTTGGAGAGACTTTATGGGTTTCCCGGGGAGCCAGATAGAGGAAGAAAGATCTTAAATGGGAGGAAGACCCTGGAGGGGAAGGAAATTGAGGGAGCCCCGAGGGCCCACAGAGGAATGAGGCTGGAGTGGGAGAAAATGTGGCAGAAAGTTTTAAAACTGGGTCTGACAAGGGCCTGTGAGCTGTGCGGTGCCGCAGCCCTGGGCTGGGTCCTGGCTGCCGATGACCAAACGGGCCCGGCTGTGCTAACCTATCAGTTCCTCACTGTTGAGGCAAAAAAATTTCCCCTTCTTCCCTTCTAGTTTCTTTGGCTGTTCTAACAATTAAATGGACGTAAGACAAATTAACAGGAGAAAAACAAATTTAATTCCATATGTACAGGAGCCCCACAAAGAGGTGAGGCTCAAAGACAGTTGGTCAATTGAGGCTTATAAGCCATCCTGAGCTAAAGAAAGGGGTAGGGGCCTGGGGCTTCGCAGGGGAGGAGGGCCAACCACAGGAAGGCGAGAAAAGCAGATGTTTGGCAATCAGATGCTTGCCCTGCGCGCAGAGTTTTTTCAAACAAACAAAAAAAACCCCAAAACTTATCTCTGGTAATTAATAGCTCTCTTCCTGGTACAAGCCCTCTATGTAAATTCTCTTAGACCAGGGGTCGGCAAACTTTTGAGACAGAAGAGTCAATCCTGTCCCTCACAACAATTTAAAAATTATTCGAGAGCCATAAAGCAAATGAAATCACCATTACGTGAATAATAGCCTTTAAAAATTTTATAAATGAAACTATGATAGTTTTATTTTCATTTTCAATTTTACTTCAGAGGCACATGTACGTCCCCAAAGAGCCACATGTGGCTGGCGAGCCGCAGTTTGCCGACCCCTGTCTTAGGCAATGAAGAGGGAGGTAAAGTTTTTCCTGAGTCTTGATGGCCTTCAGCTCAAATAAATCCACATGCCAAAGTGAGACATTTTGGGGTGGCATAGTCTGTTCCCCTTCATTGTCTACCTGGCCAGGGCTGGTTCCCACCAGGGCACTGGGAATGCAGATCTCTGTGACAGCTGGTGTTCATATGGGGGTTAAGCATCTCAGTTCTACTGTAATTTTAGGGGCCTAAGAAACCCAGGAGGAAACGCTGTGAGCCATAGGTCCTGGCCTAAGCCCCTACTGTTGCCCTGCTGGGCCCAGGACGGGTCAGCGGTGTTAGGAAGAGAAGTGGGTAGGCCCCCTGGGCACACCTGTGCTGGCTGAGGGAGTCACGGGCAGGGGGGCAATCCTCCATCAGCAGAACCCTGTACTCAGATCATGTTTGAGCCATCCTACCCCCTCCCATCCCCCACTCATCTCCTGAGGGGCACACAGTAGAGCAGGGGTGTCAAACTGGCGCCCGTGGGCCGCATGCGGCCCTCGAGGTAATTTTTTTGTATACTCGTCTTCAGTAGTTAAAGGGTTAATGAGGGAATTGTGTGTACGGTATTGTCTCGATCTCCCCTAAGTGCTATTTTCTTCATAACAATTTTTTCTATTTTCATTTTATTTCAGAGCATCGTGGGCCATAAAAAATTACCTCGAGGGCCGCATGCGGCCCGCGGGCCGCCAGTTTGACACCCCTGCAGTAGAGGATCCAGAAATAACAACTGCAAGAACCTCTGTGTGAAGTGGAGGACCAGCCAGCTCTGCTTAGCATCCAGGAGCACGTGACAAGTTCTCCTGGGCAGGAACTGCACTTGCACATTTTCAGCTCAGGGCAGTTTGGCAAAATGCAAGCTTGGAGAGGGTGTCTGCATCTGTCACCCGCCCAGGGCCTCAAGGTGACTTTATGGGGATCTGGTAGCATCTGAGTCTCCAGCAGGGAGGAGAGCAGCAGCTGACCTGTGCTGTAAGGACATAGGGTGGTGACCTCAAAGCTGCTCAACCTGGTCCTCCTTTAAAATCTGCCTGGTCGGATCAAGTTAGAGCCAGAGCACAAGTCTCCTGAGCTCCAGGCTCGTGGGACAGTGGCGTTGGCCCAGAGTGGTCAGGAAGTGGCCCTGGTCTCGAAGAGCTGAATGGGGATTTTACCTTCCCCAAGACATGAATGAACCAACCAGGCACCCTTACCTATCAGGCCCTTCGAGGTTAGAGTGGATCAAAGGGTGGTTATCACAAGAAGCATCACCATTCCTTAGCCAAGGCTCAGAGCAAGCACCCCTTTATAGATGATCAAACACAATGCCAGCTGTGTCCTTGGTGTGGACCTGAGGGCCAGCTCTCACCATGGCCTCCCTGCCCCTGAACCTATTTGTCTCATTCTGTGCACTTTCTGCAGCCCCTTAGACCCTGGCTGATGAAATATAGGAAGTGTGTATGTTTTAGGAATATGGGCAGTGGGTGACCTCATGGTCACTGTTTACAGGGTGCCTGGTATATTAAATATTAACCTTCTGATAACATTACCTGCTCAGGCCAGCTCTCAGCCAGAGAGATGGATCAAGGATTCAGTCCAAATGGGCTCATTTCATGGCCAGATCTGTGCATTCCATGGGACCCTGGCAGGAAAGGAGTCTTCTGTGATCACTGCTCAGCTTGTCACTCTCAGGTTACAGTGCGTGAAGGCACATGATGGTGGCATGACATTGCGGGGGGACAGTGAAACCCTCACCTCATAGCTTTAGTAGAAGCTTCTCATCACTGATAGTGGCAGCTGGAGAAGCAGTGCTCACCAATAGAACTTCCTGTTTTATATCTGCGCTGTCCAGTACAGTGGCCACTAGCCACACGAAGCTGTGGAGCACTTGAAATGTGTCTAGTGTGACTAAGGAACTGTATTTAAAATTCTATTTAATTTTAATTAATTTTAAGTTAAATTTAAATGGCCACATGTGGCTAGTGGCTGCCATACTTGGCAGCACAGGTCTAGAAGTTATGCTATGTCATCATTCTCTCGCTAGTTTATAGACAACTTGGCTTAGATTGGTTTTCAACGTTAGACGGTGACAGGACAGGGATACCAGCTGTGGCAGACTCTGTTTGCTTCTTACTCACTGCTACTCACCTTTACTGAGCCCTGGTTTTGTGACAGAGGTAATGGCCCTAACCTCAGTGGTTGAGCCACAAGTAGACGAAGCCACCTGTGACCCTCCTGTTCTTCTTTACCAGTGATTGGTCTTGGGGCGGGCATATCACTCAATTCTAGCCAGTCCAACACAAGAGGAGGTTCCCTGGGGAGATTTCTGGGAAAGATCTTCTTCCTTGACTATGGAAGGTGAATAGCCTTTTGGGGCCTGTCACCTTTCTTCCTGCTTGGGACACGGTTGTGTAGACTGCTATTTGGGGCTATGGCAGCCATCTTGTCATCATGAGAGAATGGCCAAGACAATCAATATTTTTTTATGAATTGTTGACAATACTTGGGAAAACTCAGGGACCCACGAGTATCCAAGGCACCTCACCAAGTCTAGGCACAATATTATCAATGCAGCAGACCAGCATGATGTCCTGTAGGACAGTGAGGGGGTTGAGGTCCGTCCAGCACAGAGCTCAGAAGCAAAATGGAGGAAACGTTCTGCTGTCCACTCCCTCCTCACCCTTCTGCACTGGCCAGATGGGAACGCTACATAGGGTTGTGAGAGGAATCATTCCCCCCCACATCCCCCCAACACACATCTTCAACTTGTTCACAGTGATAATAACACCGGTGCTCCCTCCTGAGATGCAGTTGTCCTTTAGATTTGCAATTTGTTGGGGAGGCGGAGACCCAGGGGCTTTCCCTTTGCCCTTCCTGTCATAAAAGCCCTTACTTTTGGGATCACAGAGCCAACGTGGGGACTCTGGCTGAGGTTTAGAGTATCTATTCTGACTTTACATCCAGGCATTGGAGACGTAATGGGTTCAGGATTCTACCAGTCCTACTATGAGCAGAACTCCAATCGAAGCTCATTTATCACCTAACCCAGTAGTGTTCTGCTCCCCCAGGTAATTAGTGCGAGTTCAGAGCTAGTACCAAAGTCTCTTGGAAGTTCTGGTTCCTTCCTTTCCCCAGGGCACAGTTTCCCTGATACATGGTCAGATCCCCTGTGGGAAAAGCAGGAGTAAGATAGATAGAATATATGCTTTATGTTATTGTATGGTCTTTCCTTAAGTCTCCATTTAACTCAAGGGGCTGTGAACAGACAGAAAAGTCAGTCTGCCCCTCTAGGATCTTCTGCTGAAATCAGAGGGGCCATGTTGATGGCAGTATCTCCCTAGTAGCAGTCTACTTGGGACACTGGCCCTGGCACCATTGCAGTTGGCCCCTCAGGGTTATGCTCTTGGGCTCTTGTCTCTGCTGCAGCCACTGTGAATATTCTCTGGTTGACCACAGGGCCTTTGCATCACTCCTTCACAATTCAAAGTCCTTGGCAGGAGCACCTACTTGGCTAAGTTTAGGTCATGTGATCATGTGCAGCACTTATTATAAAGAAGCTGGAAGAGAGAATATTTGATTCCCTCTTGGCTTCCATAGAGAGAAATAAGTAAGAGCCTTGCCTTTCACCTACCCTAAAGGCTGGTCAGCCAAAAATGCTGGTGATTTTTTTCTTTACTTTTTTGCTTATCTATGTGGTTGGGTTTCCTTTCTTCCTTTCCCTCCCTCCCTCCTCCCCTCTTTTTTTCCTTCCTTCCTTCTTTCTTTCTTTCTTTCTTTCTTTCTTTCTTTCTTTCTTTCTTTCTTTCTTGCTTGCTTTCTTTCTTGCTTTCTTTCTTTCTTTCATTGAGGTATGTATAATTGACATATAACATTATATTAGTTTCAGGTATACAACTTAATGATTTGATATTTGTATACAAGGTCAGATGATGAAGTTCATGAACTCACCCTAGAAAAAGTGCCACATAACCTCATTGCTGAATATCGCTATGGTCACCTTCGAAGTACTCCCCTTGGGAAGCTATGCACCAAAGCCAGCACCTAGTCCACCCTTCAAAGAAATTTTGGAACTCTTTTTCTGGGATGGCCATCAGAGCTGTCAGATGAAAGAAGAAGAGATTTGAAAGANGCCAGCACCTAGTCCACCCTTCAAAGAAATTTTGGAACTCTTTTTCTGGGATGGCCATCAGAGCTGTCAGATGAAAGAAGAAGAGATTTGAAAGAATCCAAGTGGATGAAAATTCTTTCTACCACAGTCTGATGCTTATTTGATACCTGACAGGGTATTTATGAACTTATCTTCCTTCTCTGGAGAGTGGACTGGGATTCAGAGACTCACGTCCTCAGGCAGTTTTATAATCCTCTAAAAAGAATTCTAAGAATTTCAAGTTTTTACGCTTTCTTTTTTTTCCTCTTTGGGCATGGATCTGGGACAGCTCAACATCAAAAAGTCACTAGTTTGTCTTAGAGCAAACTTGAGAAGCCCAGTTCATAGTCAATGAAGTTCAGTAGTGTCTCTGCTGGCCTCGAGCTCTCTGGGCCTCCAGTGGATACGATAGGGGCCTAAAAAACTCAGTGTTTGCTCACAGAAGAATTTATGTATTCATTATGGTATAATTCTGAAGACAGCAATCACAATCCCCTTCTCAGCATGTTTCTTGTAGAAGAAATAGAAAGGAAAATAATAAAAAGAAAAAAACATTGCCCAGCTTCTTATGATTAGCGACTAAGGAGTTAGCCTTCCAGGCTTTGAACAAAGTGCTTGTTCTATCTAACAAATATTTATTGAGAGTCTACTATGTGTAAATCATTATGTCCTGGAGTCTAGCCGTGTTCCAAATGTGGATGAGAAAGAGGTTTGTCAGAGAGTCACCTCACAGATAGCCTTTCCTAAGTGGGCAGGTCATGGTGGACTGTCACACCCCAGGCATCTAACTTCTTTAATAAAAGGCTTATCTTTGCCTAAACAAGCCCTGCCCATTGTTTCTGTGCATCTAGGTTAACATACCTTTGAAATGCCTCTTTTCAGGCCCCTCAAGTGAAACTTCCCTCAAGAGAGCATATAACCTTATTAACTGGCCTGTAATCCATCCCCCACCTTGCTTTCTCCCACCTCCATGTAATCGTTCTTGTATTCCCTCCTTAATTCCAAACGCATAAAAGAAGCTGCAAATTGTCATTTCATTGAAGTATTTTTCTCAGCCTATTGAGATCTTGCTTCCAGGCAAATCCTCTGTTTGGCTCATATAAAATCTTATAAAAATTCTTTCCAGGTTTGGACATTCTTCTGTTCACACAAACTAGACACAGCCCCTCCTCTATGCTCCTACTATAGATCTCACAGCCCCATAGCACGTTTATACAAGTTGTATCACACAGTACATAGTGTTCTGATACCTGCTTTTCTCACTGGACCATGTATTCTGGATATCCTTTCATGTCAGCACCTATAGACTAACATTGTCATTTCAAGAAACCAAATAGTATTATGTATATGATTAGCTATACTTTATTTTAACCACTGCCCTAATCTTGTGGACTTTTATGCAGATATATAAAGCATTTCTCGGGCCGGCTGAGTGGCACATTGGTTGAGAGTTGGCTTGGAGAGTGAGCTCTGAGCAGCAAGGCTGCCAGTTCGAATCCCACATGGGCCAGTGATGCTGCGCCCTCTACAGCTAAGATGGTGAACAACAACTTGACCTGGAGCTGGGCTGCCGGAGGTAGGCTGCAGTGGGCTGCCGTAAGCTACCGTGAGTGGCTGGCAGCCAGTATGCGGGGCCGGCAGCCAGCATGAGCCGCCGTCCAGTGACCGGCGACCAATCTGCCTCACCTGGGAAGAGCGCAATGATAATACCAACATGGGCCAGTGAAGCGACGTCCTCCACAACTAGACTGAACAACAAAAGGACAGTAACTTGTCTGTTCCCCTTTTCTGATTCCCCAACACTGGTCCTTCCCCCAATTCCCCAAGAAAATCTTAAAAAAACAACAAAAAAAAGCATTTCACATAAAATGTGAAAAACAGTAGTAATGATGCTTTTAGAAAAGTGACCCATGATATGCAGAAATGTAATTATAGAATGTAATATGTAGGGGAAGTAGTGTTCACTCTAGTGTTTTGTATTCACAATAGATGCAAAAAAAAAAGCATTTCTGTGCACATGTACATGGGTCTTACGACTTCAGGATGCTCTTTTTTTTTTTTTTAAGTTTTTTTTTGGGGAATTGGGGGGATGGGAACAGTGCTGGGGAATTGGGGAAAAGGGAACAGACAAGTTGCTGTCGTTTTGTTCTTCAATCTAGTTGTGGAGGATGTTGCTTCACTGGCCCAAGTTGGCACCATCATTGCGCTCTTCTCTGGCGAGGCAGATCAGTTGCCGGCTTCTGGACGGCCGCTCACTGCGGCTGCTGGCCGCTCACGCTGGCTGCTGGCTACATACGATAGCCCATGGCAATCCACTGCCACAGGGACTGCAGCCCACACCGTCGCCGGCGACTCATGGCAGCCCAGCTCCAGGTTGAGCTGTTGTTCAGCATCTTAGCTGTGGAGGGCAGTGTCACTGGCCCTCATATGTGGGATCCGAACCGGGGCCCTCTGGCATCCCAAGCGAGTTCTTAACCATCGCGCCACTCGGCCGGCCCCAGGATGCTCTTAAATCATCTTCAGGTGCACCAGTGTAGAAAGCTGACCCCAAGTCGCCCACAATCTTTCTGCTGGTTCAATGCCTTCAGCTGTACCTGGGTAATCTTGTTGTGTTCAAGTGCTTTTAGATCAAAATAATCCTTATGCCAAAGTGGCATATGTTGGGGTGGCATATTCTGCCACTTTTTACAGCCCTGGCTGAGTGCTATTGGCAGCTCTCTTACCAATCACAAGGAGAGTCAATGTCAGCATGAAGCTGAGTTCATGGAAGCCAGAGTGGGGAGAAAGAAAGAAATGAGATCTTTGGAGTAGATACTTGTAGGCTTCACAGGTAGGTCACAAGCCATTGTTTTCCTTAATGTCTAAGCCAGACAGAGCTAGGCTCCCTCTTCCCTGGAAATAGGTTTGACTAATATCATAACCAGCATTCACTGAGTAGTACTGTGAGTCACCACTATGGTGAGCCCTACAGGGTCTCGTTTGATTAATTATGAAACAGATGACTGGTCACGATGCAGCTGTTAAAAATGAGGTATTGCATGGAGAGATTTCCATGAGAAGTGAAAAGAGCAGGTAACAATTATATGTTATGAAATCCTATATAATCAGGAAAACCTGTCCATTTTAACCAAGTAATCTCTTACTTGGGGGTGGAAAAGATAGTGAGAGGAGAGAAGGAATCCTGTGGTTTTCAGTTATCTCAGCTTGAATCTTATCTGATGCTTGAGGTAAGAGAGGGTAACCCCTCCTCCAGGGAGGGCTTCTGGGCGAGGGAGGGAGGGGTAACCCAGGAAACTTGGCTGGAGGTTGAGGCAGAAACATGGGGGGTGGGTATGGGTGAGAGGGTCGGAGGGGGGTGGAACTAGTCTTTGAAATGCCAAGGCTTGTGCTGGGAGATATGTGGGTAAGGTGTGTGGGTACAGACAGAAATAGAAGAATTAAAATGCCCAGTGCTTATGGACACAACAGTCATCCCAGTGGGGGTCTGCTCCTCTGGGGAGGGTCTGAGACCAGAACCTCTTGGTTCTATGGGCTGAAGGGAGCAGGCAGTCCCAGGGCCCCTGGAGAGGGGAGAGTTGACTCAGGTGGAGGCTTGTGCAGGTCACTGGATTTGAGCTCTTGCTGAGTAACAACTCAGTCTTGTTGAGTCCTCAGTTGTCAAGGACTAATGTAGGCAGCAGGGCAGGGCAGTATTGAATGAAAGGCTGAAGGAGGGGAGGCCAAGGTGGGGGTGGGGCACAGACAGCAAAAAAACGGGGGCTTCACACCAGCACACTCTTGAGGCCCTAGAAACTGGGCTCCCACCTTGTGTTGCCATGCCTGATGTCACAGCTGGACTTTCTGCTTTCTGTCCTGGTTCAGAAGTTTCTCCTTTAAATTTTATTTTTAAGGAGCCTCCTGCCTAGGGAAGTCTTGATTTGTTTAACTGCTCTCATTGGGAATATGCAACTTTAAAGCGTTTGAAAAGAATCCAGTTCTGAGAAATTTGCATTTTCAGAAAGCTTTCAAGAGAGGGCCAACCAATAACGCCTGTGAATAAAGTCTTTCTGTGTTCGCTGCTCCCTGTGAACAGTGCAGGAGGTGTAGGAGAAAGGAAGCACGTTGCATTCCCCTGGCAGCCACGGCTGAGTGGGGGTAGACATGTTTGCCAAGAGCCAGAGAGGATTCTGGGATGTGTGTGTTGAGTCACCTCTCCCCTGCAGGTTTCCAGGGAGCTGGTTTGCATGAGGTAAACATGCAACCTGATTCCCAATTCCAAGGGCCACTCTTCTGTGCTCCACAGTCTCCTCCTGCCTCGTGTGGAGAGGCAGGGGAGCTGTGGGGGAGGAAGAAACTTTCCTCTACCCTCCTAGGTTCTTCCAGCTGGTCTAAAAAATAGATACGAGATAGAGTATCAGGAGAAAAATGACTAAATTTAGTTACATACATATGTATGGGAACCCCACAGACATGAGAGGTTCACAGACAGAAGGGGAAAATGTGATATATATGACATTCTGAGCTAAGGATGAGAAAAGGTGCCTCAGGCTTCAGAGGGGAGGAAAGTCATGGCAGACGTTTAGTGATTAGAAGTTTGCCCTGTCATGTCCCATAGACAGGCCATAAAGAGCTATCTCTTGTAACAATACTTACGATGGACAAGGCTCCAAATTTAAATTCTTTAAGGGAGAGGTAAAAGTTTCTCGTGGGTCCGCAGGGTCTTGTTGCCTTCAGCACAAAAGAATTCACATGTCAAAGTGGCACAGCTTGGGGAGGTCTGGTCTGAAACTCCTTTGTAGCCCAATGGGCGGCGTTGGGGAGGTGTACAGCCTGGCGGATTGGCACTTGTATGGGATTCAGCCCCACTCTCAGAGAGGCCCCCTTTTCCATCCCTTCTCGCTTCAGCAGGGACCTGCGCTGGCTACAGCAGTGAGGAGCCCTCACCATGTGGTCTGCTAATGCTCCCTTAGCCCCATGACAGGAGCCCTGGATGCCATGTGGTCACTGTCCCTATTCTCGCTGCAGGCCCCGTGTGTGCTGCTGGGAACAAAGAGCTAAGGGGCCCAGACGTGTAACTTCAGGATGTCACCTGGAAGCCACTGGCATGCATGGGACATCATTTCAAGTGAGTTTATTCTAAGAACAGCCTATACACTAGACCAAATAATGACCCTTGATTTTATTTCTGATATTATTATAACTAACCACACAAGGTGGTAGAATGGACAACAAACTAGTAGAACCAAATGCCTCCACATATGACCTCCTTGCCCTTGAAAAACATTACACTATACCCCGCTGTTTCTCTCCTCCTCTCCTTCCCTCCCTCCCTTCCTCTCTCTTCTGTTCCTTTCTTTTAATCCAAACATGATATTATTGACCTTCTTCTATCTGCCAGACACTGTTTTAGGAACTGGTGATATTTTAGTGAACCACACAATCAAGCCATCCCTGGCCAGCAGAGCTTACCGGCTAGAGGAGAGAGACAGGCAACACATAATCACCATAAGCAATAAGTAAAGTTTACAGCATATCGGGGAGAGAAATGCAGGGAAAGGGGGTGTCAGGGTTGACCTCACTGAGAAAAGAGTTGAATGAAGGCAAATGTAGGGGAGGAAAAGCATCTTTTCTTTGTACCCTGCCAAGTTCTCAGCTGGGCCCCCTATAACAAAAGGGATTCGTAAGGTAAAAGCGTACAAATTTTTTTACTATCAGCTTTTTGTGACACGGAGCCTTCAAAAGGAAATGAAGGTCTGAAGAAGCTATTAAGCCTGAGTGTTTTCATGCTCATTTGATGACAATTGGAAAGTTGTGGGAAACTGTGACAGGACGTAAGCGTGCTCCCTCCTCTGGATATGGGGTGGGGGGGCACCTCTCACATTAGGGTCTTATGACCTTCTTCAGGGTGAGGTCACAGAGTCCTTCCTGCACCTGCTGTTTCTCAAATTCCTTCAGCTGAAGGTAGCCATGGGCTATCTGGGAGAGAGTGTGCCAGGCCAGGGAACAGTCAGCATGGGGGCCTGGTGTGGGAGGGTACCTGGCACTGGCGAGAAACAGCAGGGAGGTGTGTGGAGTGGGAGTGAAGCAAGCCAGGCCTCACAGGAAATGCAGCTAGAGAGGAAAGGGGGCCTTGCGAGGACCCAGCTTTTGCTTTGAGATGGAGAGCCACTGGAGGAATTTTAAAAACTGTTTCTTCTGGCAAATTTCAAGAGTGCATAGAAAAAGATTCTCCCCTTGACCTAACTCTAGTCAAGCTTCTCTGGGCCTCGACCTTAGTCTCTGTCATTGGCCTGTTTCGTCCAGTTTCAGTGGGAATCCTGTAGGGTCAGTTTAGCCAGAATCTTCTATCCTTGGTATCTGACTACGCTTGGTATCTGATTAAATTCCTCACCGCTCACCCTGGCCAGCCTTAGTTAAGGGTCCTATCAAGCCGGTTTAGCCAGAATCCCCCTTTATACCCAAGCTTCTTCTTAGTAATCTTCCATCCACTGGCCCTACCCTGCTCCTTGGCTATAAATCCCCACTTGTCCTTGTATTTGGAATGGAGTTCAGTGCTATACTGAGACCTCTCTTCCCCTATTGCAATAGTTCCTGAGTAAATGCCTCCACTGCTTAACTTCTGTCTGGCTCTGGTGTTCTTTGACAATATGAAGGTAGAGAGAAGAACATGTACCAACCACCCAGCTTCCATGGTGACCAACTCAAGGCCATCCCCTCCCTTGCATCTCCTCCCCTGTCTCCCTGACATCACATGGATTCATCCATAAGTATTTCTGTATGTATCTATGAATGATAAGGGCTACTTTTATGCCTAACCATAAAACCACTTTCACACCTCAAAGTTTACAACAATTTCCTACCATAATCACATTTTCAGTCATTAGGTCATTGTGTGGGGAGGAGGTTTGCAGTGGAGAGACATGTTCTGATTTACTTTTTGCAATGGTCAGATTGCGTGGCACACCTGAACTCTCCCACTCTAGTGCAAGAGAGTCAGATGGCGCAGCCACTTTGGAAACCAGTGTGGCTGCTTCTTACCAAGTTGTAAACATATGCCTACTTTAGGATCCAGCAATTCCACCTCTAGGTATTTACCAAAGAGAAATGAAAACCTCAGTCTGCAAAAAGAACTATACAAACATATTCGTAACAACTTTATCTTAAAATCTCCCAATTGGAAATAATCTGAATGTTCATTAACAGGCAAGTAGATAAAGACATGTGACATGGTCACACAAGGAACTACTGCTCAGAGAGAAAAAAAGGAATAAACTATTGACGTATACAGGAATATGGATTAGGTTCAAAACATTATGTTGAGCCAAAGAAGCCAGACACAAGAGTGCATTGCATGCTGGTTGATTCCATGTCTATGAGTTTTTAGAGCAGGCAAAGCTATGCATAGTGACGGAAATCAAACCAGTGGTTTTCTTGGGTGGAGGAGGAGTGGATACTGACTAGAGAGGGGCTGGTAAATGGGGAGACTTGGGGCTGAGTTTTGGAAGTCTTGGGGTGTGTGGGGGAGGTTTGAAGACAGAGAGAAGAGTTTTGAGGAATGTGAGGTGATTCAATCCCTGCCAGCACTGAGGCCCACTTGGAGTTTGAGGTCATGAACTGGGGGTGATTCCCATGATGCACGTGGCTGTGCTTCCCCAAGTTCAGCTGCACAGTGCACATGCACGGGAGACAGAGAACTGGATTTAACCAGGGTGTGGTTTTGCCAAGTGAGTAAGATGAAGGGAGATGGGCAAGGGAGTTGGAGTTTCTAACACCAAATCAATTCCTAATCTCAACAGAACAAAAAGGCCTTCCTTTTGCTGTTCCTGTGGAGAAAGCAACACCCCAAATATGTATGAAATATTGTACTAATCAGGAAAGGTGCAAAATGGACCTCAAACGATCCTCCATTCTACTTCTCCATCAGCTCTGCCCAGTGCCAGGGGCTCACCCAGGGGCATCTCCAGAGCCCAGGGGCTCTTTGAGCAACTGCAGTCTCGGGAATCTTCTACATACATGATTACATCCTTGAAGATGGCTCATCAACACGTTAAAAGCACTTCCTCCCACACCTGCAGAATAGAGCACCATGAGATAAAACTAAACCCCAGTGCCATCTGCAGCAGACTACAATCCAAACTCCAACGTCAGCATATAAACCGAGTCCTCAGAATATGGTACAAGCCATTCACTCTCCACCACTGGAGGTGGGCAGGCAAGAGGACCAGGGCAGAAAACGCAGAGGGAAGAGGGGAAGAAGGATACAAAGAACACAAATCCAGGGTTTAGCGTCTTTGTGGAGCCCGTCAACTGGTCAACCCAGACCCTTCATCCCGATTCTAGTGGAAGTGGGCTCTCCAGTCATTTATTTCACATACTCTTTAACTGGGATCGATCACCCCAGACTTGAACAGAACTCTCTAGTTCTCAACCTCCTGGAGGAGTCAGCCTGGATCTCTTGCTTCAGGCTTGCAAATGGGAACAACCAGCCCTCTTCCTTGGATATTTTCCTCCTTGGCAGCCAATGATGCTACGCTCCTAGCAAGGCTTCTCAGCCCCAGTCCTTTTGCCGGCTCATGGCTCGGTTCCTCCTGGCTTTGGCCAAGAATGTTTCCTGGCATGCTGACAAGGGCACTCTGCCAGTTTAAACCCTTGTTCCAAGTCTCCGTGAGTGGCTGTGTGAGCTGTGATAATATATATTATCTAC